ATGCGAAACTTGAAAAAAAACTGTTTATAAAGTAGCTAAAATCATCAAAATACCGAATATAGGGAGGTACCATGGGGGTTATAAAACGTGGACCTGCACAGACAATTCTCTGTCATAGGCTGCAGTATCCATTACGAACTTTAAATACAATATTTGAAATAATTCCGGTAAATAATGTCGCTAAAATCATCAAAATACCGAATATCGGGAGGTACCGTTATATGGGGGCTATACGAAGACGTGGACCTGCGCAGACAATTTCCTGTCACAGGCTGTAGTATTCACTATGAAATTCAAATACCAAATTTGATATAGTTCCGGTAAATAATGTCGCTAAAATCATCAAAATACCGCATATCGGGGGTACCGTTATATGGGGGCTATACGATACGTGGACCTACATGGCTCATTTTCTGTCGTAGGATGTAGTATCCATTACGAACTTCAAATACCAAAATTGAAACAATTCCGATATATAATGTCGCTAAAATCATCAAAATACCGAATATCGGGGGGTACCGTTTTATAGGGGCTATACGAAAATGTGGACCTGCACAGACAATTTCCTGTCATAGGCTGTAGTATCCATTACGAACTTCGAATACCAAATTGAAACAATTCCGACATATAATGTCGCTAAAATCATCAAAATACCGAATATAGGGGGGTACCGTTATATGGGGGGAGACGTGGACCTACATGGCCAATTTTCTGTCTTAAGCCGCAGTATCTATTACGAACTTTAAATATTAAATTTGATACAATTCCGGTAAATAATGTAGCTAAAATCATCAAAATACCGCAATCAGATGGCTATACGAAGACGTGGACCTACATGGACCTGCAGACATAATAATACATATTTTAGTAAAATATTATCAACCTACTTCATTTCATTCTGAAGCTAGAGTGATTTCCACAGATGGAATGATAAACTCAATATACCCTCCATAATATGGTGGAGGGCATAAAAATATGAATATAGGTTAGTTCTGTTGGTCACTTTGTTGCCATCGGCCTCCTAGGGCCAGCAAAGTAATTCATCACAACATTTTTTTCTTTTTTTTTTTTTTTGTTGACGATTTCAATTTTGTTGCAAACTTTAGTTTCCATGGCCTGGCATGTTTCGTGATTTGATTGGATTTAATTTGGATTGTGTTTGATTTTGCACTGGGCCAGGTAGGTCTAAACAAACAAGTCACACCGAATTAACCCAGGCCATGAATGCCGGCTCGCATGGCAACGTTTTTTTCTCTGTTTTTTTTCGATGATGTTGCAATTTTGTTCGGCAACGCATGCCAACACAAAAAATTCGAATCACATTTCGTGATGATTTTTAATAGGGTGGAGTGAAACCAATTTAAAGAAAAAAACAGTAAAGAATGTCTTAAATTCGGTCGGGGTCGACTTTATGATACCCTACACCACTTTGCTAATTTACTAGAGCTCCACATAACAATTAAAAGTTTTTATGCACAATTAATTTGAAATCGGATAAAGATATATATGGATGCTATATCCAAATCTGAACCGATCTCGATAAAATTTGTCAAAGATATTTCTGAGCTGTATTTGATATATTTCCCTGCATATTGTTGTTACGAAGTGCATATTACGGCTTTAGATAACAAATCGGTATGAACAATATATATGGGACCTATAGCTATATCGCAACCGATCTTCACCAATTTTGACCATACTAGCTTCTAGACTCTATTCAGTCATAAATGCCAAATTCCATCCCATTTGGGCAAATATTAGACGTTTGGTGCACAATAAAAGGTAAATCGGACAAAATTATATATGGGAGCTATATCTGAAATCTGAACCGATCTCGATAAATTTAGCAAAGCTATTTCTGAGCTTTATTTGATATATTTCCCTAAATATGGTTGTTATAGAGTGCATATCTCGGCTGCGGAGGACAAAAATAACAAATCGGAATGAACAATATATAGGGAGCTATAGCTATATCTTAACCGATTTTGATCAAATTTGGCATACTTATTTGCAGGCCTAATTTGGCAGTATGTGCAAAATTCCATACTGTTCGGGCTGATATTACACGTTTGTTGCACAAATAAAAGGCAAATCGGACGAGGATATATATGGGAGCTAAATCTAAATTTTTCCCGATTATCTCCGATTTCAATAAGGTTCGTCCTTGGGCCAAACAAATGATTTGTGCAAAATTTCATCTGGATCGGGCAATAAATGCGAAATGTACTTTGTTTACAAAAATACATCGACGGACAGACGGACGGACATGCATAAATCGACTCAGAATGTGATTCTATGCAGATCATCAAAAGGAACTATGGGTCTATATCGTTTCCTTTTGCCTGTTACAAACAAATGCACGAAGACATAATATCCTGACCACCTTGTGGTGTAGGGTATAAATATTTACAATTTAAAGGCTCATAATCGCAAATTTTTTTGAGATGGAAAAATACCTATCTTCTCTATTACGCTGCGGTATTAGAATAGGGATACTAATTTCCTGATTTTAATAATCAGAATTTTGATCAATTTTTGGGGGCAAAAATGAAAATTCAAACGATAATATAGCCATTTTATTTATTCTAAAACGAAAATTTATCATCGATTTCCATTCCACCCCATGACACCATTCCACTGGTCGTCATACAGTTATTTTCTCTTGCCAAACCAAGCCGAGCCGAAAAAAAAAACACATTTCACTTAATCAAAACGAAATGCGGCTTTAACACAATGTGAGGTTTTAGTCACGTGGATCAAATCAATGGAAATGCATACAAAAGCATCGGTTATTTGTAGATTTTGGGTTTTTGCTTTCAGTGGAATTTTAAACGAATTCCATTTGTGGAATGAGGACAACGGCTAGTCACCGACAATATGTTGCATGATTTCCCATTTGGACTCGTGCAAATAGTTTCGATGGCAGGTTAACACAATTTTTTGGGTTGATGTGCTGGTCTGTTGTGATTTTAAAGACATCAATGGATTTAAAAGTGGGACGGATTCTTTAAATGCATAAATTCGCAGCCAGGAGGCCTCCAGGTCATCTATACAGGATGATATGAAAAAACTGCAACCAAATTCAGACTGCTGTCATTTCGAAGCCACTAGTCCGAAAGCTGTTAAAATTATTCCAGTGACAGCTTATTATATTGTTTACAAGCGTACAAAAGCATTTCGGTGAGAATTTCCAGAAAAAAAGTTATTCGTGATGGAATTCAAGCGGTGTAATTTCTTCATATTTGGCCGGAAAACCGCAAGTGGCTGTCGTTAGAGCACTCCAGCATTTAAATGTAATAAATCATTTGTGTCTCGTACCATAGCTCGTTACCGTGATACTGGTAGCATAGCCCGACGTTAAGGAAGTGGACGGAAGAAAACAGCAACATCAGCAGAAATGGTTCGAAAATAAAGAAGCGACTTGATCGAAAACCCGCGAAACGTCGCAGTGGCCGAAAAAATGGCTCGTGAGCTGAACATATCGCAATACCCCATTCGACAAATATTGAAAATGGGCTCGTGGTAAAGCCATTGAAATTCCAAAAGTGCAAGAACTTACACCGCAACAGGAAGAAAATAGACTAGAAAGAGCTAAAGAGTTGTTTCACTTTGCCGAAAGTGATGAACTGCCGACTTGTTATCTCGATGAGAAAAACGTTCGTTGTGCAGCAGTTTGTAAACAAACAAAATGATCGTGTTTACTTGCCAAAGAGGTCAGCTGAAAAAGTGCACCTTCGGTTGGCCACCAGAACTCAAGCGCTGGCCATGGTGATGGTGTGAGCCGCCATAACAGCCGATGGTCGCTCTCCGCTCATATTAATCGACTGTGGGCATCAGAATAAGTGCCGAATGTTATGGCGATTTTTTTTTTTTTTGGGGGGGGGGGTGTATTAAAGCCCTGGGCACGCAAACATTTTGGCCGCAGACTTTGGACATTCCAACAGGACTCAGCACCATCGCACTCAGCACGCGCCACCCAGGAATGGTTTAAAAAATGAGATTCCTCGATTCATTTCCAGCGCCCAATGGCCAACAAAATCTCCGGATACCAATCCTTGGACTATTGTGTCTGGAGTATTTTGAAAAGCAAGGTTGGCACCAAAAATACCAAAATGTCGATCACCCCTCAAGGTCTTCTATAGCCAGTAGAAGACCTCAAGGTCTTTTATAACCAGTGAAAGACCTCAAGGTTTTCTATAGCCAGAGGAAGACCTCAAGGTCGTCTATAGCCATGGAAAACCTCAAGACCTTCTTAGCCAGTAGAAGATCTCAAAGATCTCATATGGACAACAGAAGACCTCAAGGTATTCTAAAAACAGTAGAAGACCGGATGGTCTTCTATAGCCACTAGAAGACCTTAGGGTAACCACTAGAAGACCTCAAGGTCTTCTATAGCTTGCGGATGTCCTTAAGGTCTTCTATAGCCCGTAGAAAGCCGCAACGTCTTCTCTAGCCACTAGAGGACCACAGGGATCTCCTATAGACAATAGAAGGCCTTAAGGTTCCTATAGACAATAAAATAACCTCAAGATCTCCTACAACAATAGAAGAACTCAGGGTCTTCTATAGACAATTAAAGACTCAAGGTCTCCCATGGCCAGTAGAAGACATCATGTCTAATGTAGCCAGCAGAAGATCTTCCATAACCAGTACAAGACCTCAAGCATTTCTATAGGCAACAAATCAGAAGACCTCAAAGTCTCATAAGAGACCTCAAGGTCTCCTATAGTCAAAAGAAGACCTCAAGGTCTCCTATAGACAAAAGAATACCTCAAGGTCTCTATAGACAAGAATAAGACATCAAAGTCTTCTATAGCCAGTAGAAGACCTCAAGGTCTTCTATAGCTAGTAGAAGACCTCAATTTCTTCTATAGGTATGGAGGACCACATTTCAAATTTACACTCTCGAAAAATAAATAATCTGATACAATATTTACTACCTCAAATAATGCCACTCTTCTCTATAATTTACCTCTCCTCTTTTCCCCATCTCCTTCCAGTGATACTTCAATATCAACCCGTGTGGATATGCTGACGCCGGCCATTGAAGTTTACAAACCCACCGCTCTGACATAAGGATGACACGGTGGAGAGCAATTTAGGTAATCCATCGACGAGTAGTGATTTTTAGCAGAAGCTAATAACGACCCGTGTCGAGCTTAATAATGCAGGCTACAACATGCCAACAACAGCAACAAACAAGGACATCAACAGCATCAACGCCCACAAACCGTCATACATGGACAGCATTGCCCCCGACAACTACAGCAACAGCAACAAGTACAACCAACACGACAGCAACAAATGCAACTACGACAACATCATCAACAAAGCAACTTCAACAACAACAACAGGGACTGGTACTAAAACAGCAACAACAACTACTACTACTACAGCGACGAAGACGAGGACTACGACCACAACAGCAACTACTAGTTCTACTACGGATAATCTATTTGTTCTTCCATCATAGTGTCAATCAAACTATATAAAAATTATAACGAAATAACAACAAGAACAACACTCTAGCAAACGAATTAAAAACCGGAGAAAAATGTAAATTGAAAAAGAAAATTTGGGGGAAAACCATAAATCTCATGAAATCCAGAACCAGAATTAACAACACAACAGCCACAATATTAAATAAGGTAACAAACAGCAGCAGCAACAACAACAACAACAATGCCCAAACGAAATCAACTAAACTGAAACACAACAACATCAACTACAGTAACAAAAAAAAACCAAACCAAACATGCACATATATAAATAAATATATTTATATATATCTACTACTAAATAAGTTCATAATATATATATATTTTTAGTGGAACAATAAGAGTGGGAGAAAGAGAGATGGAGATAGAGAGTCGTAGAAAGGCCAAGCCCTATTGTGGAAGGGATTTTTATGGTCAAATAAATGAATGAATGGATGGTCAGCGGCCGGTCAACTATTAGGAAACAGCCAAACAAAATTATAATCAAATCCCCCCAAAAACCCATATTATGTATACAGTCACACACACACATATATATATATACACATCTAATAAGGTATATATTTTATAAATTAATTTATCGCCCTGGCTAAGCGAACACAAAACACAACTTTAATCTGACCCGAAACCATAGAAAAAAAATTCTCCGACAACACACACACACATATATAGGCAGATAACATAATATAGTACTACCCCTTGTACACACATAACGAAGGACAATAGGACTGATAACCCAAACATGTAATCCCGGAAAATATATACATTTTCATTTGAAATTTATTCCAAAAATAAGGTAAAATGAAATTTTCACAAAATTCGTCCTGGCGTGAGAAAAAAAAGGCTTCTTTTTGTGTATAAACAGGGATGTCGGCTTTAGTTCAGAATATTATTGGTAACTGATAATATTTATAGCATTTTTAATTGGTTTTACTTGGGGTTGGTCTTTTTAATTTGAGTATAAGTCTTTGTTATAAATTAAAATAATTCGCAGGAAGCCATTGGAAGATATGATAAGAATTATGTGAGGAGTTTTCGGCGTACATCTTTTTTATACCCCTTCCTCCTAAGATGGAGGGGAATATTAAATTCGTCATGCCGAAAATTCATTTGAAGCTTCATAAAATATAGGTATTAAAAAAAAAACTAATTAGATTTAACTATGATATCCGGCTGTCTCCCTTTGTTTTTGCAAGTTAGGAACATTCCAGCAGTTTTGTAGCCTCCACCAAAAAATGAGGGATATATTAAATTTGGCATTCCTTGAACGAGCCCACGAAATCTTCACCGAATATTCATTTATGATTGACGTAAATTCTATGTCAATTTAGCATGTCCGTGCTAGTTTTGAAATCAATGTTGAAGACAGAGTTCTGAAATTTTACACAGCCATTATATATTCCCAGGGAATGAAAAATAAATCAATTCACGTTTAGCTATAGCCCTCATGTAACTGTAACCCGTCCCAATTTCCAATCAAACTATCAGTAATTTTAGATTTTGGATTTTTTTTTTTTTTATATTAACTCCTCCCAAAAGATATTCAATATATGTATAGCCCTAACTAAACGGAACTTCCAGATTTTTAAATATTGTTATTTTACTTTTGCCAACTAAAACTTTAAAATTTGGCTACAAATTTGGCCTAGGTCTGGATTAATTTATATTGAAAATGGGCTACAACGGCCCCCGATTTGTAAGAGTTTCCACATAGCGATATCTCCTGGTCCATATTTTCGGTCAGGGATTCATTCATTTTTTTTTTTCAACCAATTCAGCTGAAAATTGACAGATTTTGTAATAGTCTCCACATAACGATATCTCCGGGTCCATATTTTCGGTCAAGGATTCATTCAACAACTTTTTTTCAACCAATTCAGCTGAAAATTGACAGATTTCAGATTCTCAGCAGAAAATAACTCTTCGCAAACACACATCACAACCACTATTTGCTATTTTATCCGCCCATGAAACGGTTCCTCTTTTTTTCAAGTATTATAAAGGTTTTGGATGCATTACCCATAGCCCCAATATTTCAAAATAGCCTCAATTTTCGGCAACGACAAACAAAGAAAAACTTTAGAAAATACGACTAATGTACATAAACGTGGTTCAGTGAGTGGTGTGTTTAGCTCAGACCTCTGAAAACTCACTCGAATTCTAGTAAAAACGAAAATTGGAGCATTTTATTTTGGGGCTTTTTTATACCCTCAGCCATATGTTTACATTGGGTATACATCGCTTGATACGACCAAAACTTGACTCAACGAAATAACGATTTGGACCAATCCGTTTCAGGACATTTAGAGTCGATCTAGGGGTGCCCATCCGT